AGCAGCAGTAGCAGCAGCAGCAGCAGCAGCAGCAGCAGCAGCTACCTTCGTGCACAGCATTCCTAATGAGCTCCCGCAGCTCTTCAGTCGCAGAGAGGCGGCAGCGCTGCAGCAGCAGCAGCAGCAACAGCAGCACAAGTAACGGCTTTGCAGTACAAGCAGCAGCACAACAGCAGCAGGCTTAAAGAAGCAGCAGCAGCAGCAGCAGCAGCAGCAGCAGCTGCAGCAGCAGCAGCAGCAGCAGCAGCAGCAAATTGTCTTGCCTTTTTCAGAGCGGCAATATCGAGCTCTTCTGCCGGCTGGTAACGAGCTGCAGCAGCAGCAGCGGCAGCAGCAGCAGCGGGCGTTGCTGCTGCTGCTGCTGCCGCTGCTGCTGCTGCTGGCGTGGCTGCTGCTGCGGCTTCAACAGCGGGCTGGTCCTCGTGAGCCGCTGCTGCTGGGGCCTGGGACTGGCCCTCAGCAGCAGCTGCTGCTGCTGCAGCAGCAGCAGCAGCAGCAGCAGCACTAGACGGCTGCAGCTTGGAACAGTGCAGCGACACAGCAGCAAAAACATAATCTCTTGTTGCTGCTGGCCGCACAGTTGGGGCTCGTTTATGAAAGCGCAGCAGCAAATCGTCTGCTGCTACCTGTGTGCAGACACAGCAGCAGCAGCAGCAGCAGCAGCAGCAGCAGCTGGAGCAGCAGAAGCAGCAGCATCTGCAATAGCACGGCAAGGGCAACTGCAGCAACCGCAGCTAAGGTAGCAGCGGCAGCAGGAAGCGCAGCAGCAGCAAAAGCAGCAGCAGGCACTGCTGCAGCACGAAGCACAACAGCAGCAAATGCAGCAGCAGCAGCAGCAGTACATGTAGCAGCAAAAGCGCAGCAGCAGCACATGCAAAGGCAGCGAGTGCAGTAGCACCATCAAGTGCAGTAGCAGCAGCCAGTGCAGCAGCAGCAGCAAGTGCAGCAGCAGCAGCAAGTGCAGCAGCAGCAGCAAGTGCAGCAGCAGCAGGCAGCAGCGGGAGCAGCAGAAGCAGCAGCATCTGCAATAGCACGGCAAGGGCAACTGCAGCAACCGCAGCTAAGGTAGCAGCGGCAGCAGGAAGCGCAGCAGCAGCAAAAGCAGCAGCAGGCACTGCTGCAGCACGAAGCACAACAGCAGCAAATGCAGCAGCAGCAGCAGCAGTACATGTAGCAGCAAAAGCGCAGCAGCAGCACATGCAAAGGCAGCGAGTGCAGTAGCACCATCAAGTGCAGTAGCAGCAGCCAGTGCAGCAGCAGCAGCAAGTGCAGCAGCAGCAGCAAGTGCAGCAGCAGCAGCAAGTGCAGCAGCAGCTGAGCGGCCTACAGAAGCTGGGTACTGCTTGATTGCTTCTTTGTGCTGCTGCAGCAGCTCCGCATACGCCGCATCTGCTGCTGCTCGCTGCTGCTGCAGCGCCAGACGTTTCTGCTTCCGTTTGCTCTGCCTGCAGCAGCAGCAGCAGCAGCAGCAGCAAAGTCCCCACAGCAGCAGCAGCAGCTGCAGCTGCAGCAGCAAAAGTTGCTGCAGCTGCAACGGCAGCAGCACCAACAGATGCGGCGACACTTGAAATGGCACAAAGCAGCAGATAAGGCACCCGCAGCAGCAGCAAAGGCAGCAGCAGCAAATGCAGCAGTAGCAGCAAGTGCAGCAGCAGCAGCAGCAGCAGCAAGTGCAGCAGCAGCAGCAAGTGCAGCAGCAGCAGCAAGTGCAGCAGCTAACTTCATATCAAGCTTCCACTTCTTCCTGCCGCATCGTGCCTCCTGTTCTGCTGCTGCTGCAGCCTCTGCGTCAGCGGAGCTTGCTGCTGCTGCAGCGTCTCCTTTGCTGCTGCTGCTGCTGCTGTCTGCAGCAGCAGCAGCAGCAGCAGCAGCATCGTCAGCTTCTTCTTCAGATTCGCTGCTGCCTTGAGCCTCCGCAGCTTGAAACTCCTCATCATCTGATTCAGTGTCTGAAGCAAAAGAAGCCTGCAGCAAAGACATCCTGCTGCTGCTGCTGCTGCTGCTGCTGCTGCTGCTGCTGTTGCTGCTGCTGCTGTGACTGCTGCGGCTGCTGCTGCTGCGGCGGCTGCTGCTGCTGGCTCCGCTGTTGTTGCTGCTGCTGCTGCTCTGATGCGCTCAGTTGAGGGCAGAAAAGTGCTAGCCGGGAGCAGCAGCAGCAACAGCCGCTGCTGCTGCTGCTGCTGCAGCTGTTGCTGCTGCTTCGCAGCAGCTCTTGCTGCCCCGGATGTCGCAAGATGAGCTGCAGCTGTTGCTGCAGCTGCTGCTCCTGCTGTCGCTGCTGCTGCTGCTGCTCCTGCTGCTACACTTCCTAGACTAGTTGCAGCTATAGCTGCTGCTGCTGCTGTTTCTGTTGTTGCTGCTGCTGCAGCGTCCCTTCGTATATTAGTTGCAACTATAGCTGCTGCCGCTGCTCTTGCTGCTGCTGCTGCTGCTGCTGCTGAGGGCGACAGCTGCGTTGGTAGTGGCTCTGCGGCTTACGCAGCTGCTGCTGGAAGTGTCAAGAGGCTGCTGCTGCTGCTGCTGCTGCTACTTCTGCTGTTCTGATTTTGCTGCTGTTGCTGGCAGAGCATGCTTGTGCCAGCTGCTGCTGCTGCTGCTGCTGCTGCTGCTGCTACTACCACTTCACACAAACTCAAGTGAGAAGGCTATAGAAGCGGAAAAGACAAATTTCTGGACTACATTTAAGGCAAATGCCTTTATTGCTGCTAGCAGCAGCAGCAGCTGCTGCTGCAGCAGCTGCTGCTGCTGGCGCATGCAGGTGGCAGCAGCAGCTGCAGCAAGTAGCCACCGCTGCATGTAAAGAAGCTTTAAATCCCCGAATTTGTTGAATTAATGAATTATTTAAAGGGAAAAACTGCTGCTGCAGCACGGACACAATCAGCAGCAGCAGCAGCAGCAGCAGCAGCAGCAGCTGTTGCTGCGCCTGGCTGGCCTGCTGCCGACTTGGCAGCAGGCAGAAGGACTAGACATGCTGCTGCAGCAGAAGCAGCAGCAAGCAGCAAAAGCGACTAGACAGCGCTATTGCAGCAGCAAGACAATAGCCGCAGCAGCAGCAGCAGCAGCAGCAGCAAGTGCAGCAGCAGCGGGCTCTGGCGGCTGGACAAGTTTTTCGGCAGCTGCATCATTGAGGCCACGCTGCTGGAGGCAGCAGCAGTAACAGCAGCAGCAGCAACAGCAGCAACAGCAGCAGCAGCTGCAGCAGCAGCAACCGCACAAAGCCAGCAGCAGGGAAAACAATGGAGTAGCAGCAGCAGCAAGAGGCTGTCTTCTGTGCGTCTCCATGCAGCTATGTAGGCAACTGCCCAGTCCCTTGCTGCTGCTGCTGCTGCTGCTGCGGTGTGTTGCAGATGGCTGCAGCAGCAGCAGCTCCGCAGCAGCAGCAGCAGCTGCTGCTCCCTGCAGCAGCAGCAGGTCCAGCCTATTTCCTCATCGCGGCGCAGCGTTCATGCTACTTCCTGCCCACTTGCGCAGCAGCAGCGGCCGCACCTGCAGCAGCAGCAGCAGCAGCAGCAGCAGCAGCAGCAGCAGCAGCAGCAGCAGGATGCATGCATTGATGCGGCTGCCAGTTCACCCCGTGCCCGACGCCTTAGAGCCCCCGCGGGCTCCTTTTGGCTTTGAGTTTTTGCTGCAGCAGCTGCCGCCATCTGTTGTGGGGTTTTTCACTTCTTTGCGGCAGCAGCGAGCTGGTGTACTACCTGGAAACTGAAGGGGCCCCCACTTGCCGGCGGCTGCTGCGGCTTAACAAAGGAGTCTTTGGGAAGCATGAGGCGCTGCTGCTGCTGCGGGAGCTGCAGCAGCAAGTGGAGCAGCAGCACGAGAAGCAGCTGCTGCAGCAGCTGCAGCAGCTGCAGCAGCAGACAGACGCAACAATGGCTGTCATCTTCAAGCAGAGGGAGCAGATACAGAAGCATCTCGACAAGCAGCAGCAGCAGCAGCAGCAGCAGCAGCAGCAGCAGCAGCAGCAGCAGCAGCAGCAGCAGAGCAGCAGCAGACATAGTAGGGGAAGGAGTCACCTGGAGGAGCTGAAATTCGCGCTGCAGCAGCTGGAGAAGCAGCAGCAGCTGGCAGAAGAGAAGCATCGGCAGCAGCAGCAGCAGCTGCAGCAGCAGGCAATTGCTGCTGCTGCTGAAGCAGCAAGAGTGCTCTATAGGGGCTTCCGCGAGCACGGGTCTTTTAGGCCGAAGCCCCTAAACCACTGGAAGCACAGGAGAAAGGTGCTGCTGCTGCTGCTGCTGCTGCTGCTGCTGCTGCTGCTGCTGCTGCTGCTGCTGCTGCTGCTGCTGCTGCTGCTGCTG